TTTTGCATGACTAATTAAAACAGTTGCTTCTTTTAAGCCATTCGTAACTCCAAGTTGAATAGTATGAGCCGTACACCGAATATGTAAGATTTCAAGATCTCTTATTGCTTTCACTATTGAACTAGCATTATCTGTTATACCTGCTAAATATTTGTTGCTTAAATTCCATTTTACTAGTTCTTTACGCAAACAATCTTCAATGTGTTCGGATGTATGTGGATATGAAAAGCTTTCAATTGTAAGCAAGGTCTTGTGCATTTCAAATCCAAAAGTAAGTCAATGTATGGTAATTCCAATGTAAGGTTTATGTGCTTTAGTCCACAAGTCAGTTGTAAACACACAAGTTTCCAAAGTGTCGTTAATAAAATTTTTCAAACAATTTTCTGAATAGTTTACTGCTTGGTGTAATTTTTGCTTGAAAATGTCTTCACCAGGAAAAGAAACTCATGAATCAATTTCATATAGAATATCTTGAAAATGGTATTTTTTAAAACATTAAAAGGTTGCATGTCATCAACTATCCATGCCAGTATGCGAGAAGTAATTCGATCTTGTTTTTTGTTGGATAATGGTGCTTTATACTTGGCAAATTCTTGTAAAGTTGGTTGTGAAGAATTTATCAAAGCTTGCGATTGTGTTGATAATGTGGCATGCTGAACTGAGTGAGACAAGACTGTTTGATCTTGTTTACTATTTAATGGTAATAAAGAACCATTTTTGTCAAATCGATGTTCAACTCGAAGATGAGTAGCCAAATTAGTTGTACTGGTCTTGAGTTCAAAAAGACGCGTACATTGCTTAAGATCACCATTAATATCACTCCAAATGAGACATTTGACCTTTTTGTTAATTTTGTCTTTCTTCATATGATTCCATACCCAGCTTTTTCTTGGTTTAGATCTTTTATTACTGTTGATGCTTGGTCGTATATCTTGAGCAAAATTAACTACTGGTTCTTCTAAAAACACGTTATGAAGTATTGGTGATGGTGATGACAGTGATAGTAGTAGTGGTAGCGGTGATAGTGGTGAATGTATAGGTATTGTTCTATTATAGTTTTGTTCTGTCTCAATAATAGTTGGTGAAAAATCACCATTAGAACCATTATAATAGTGAAAATGAATAGAGTTTTGTTGGGACATTTGACAAAAATGAAATTACGTGTCAAATTTTCGCATTTTTATTAATTATCGTGACCTGATATATCATTTCCTTTTTTAGTATGTTATACAAGAATCAACCAGCTGATTTTTTGAAAATCAACTAACTAAGTCAAAAAATCGGCCATAGTCGATTTTTTGATAATTGACCAGGAACACTAATTGATATAATTTATTTACAACAATTAATAAATTTATCTTAATATTATTCATATAAGAAAGTATTCTTATAACTTGGTAATAGTGAATAAAGATTATTAAAACTACAATACATATTTTACAAACACACTTTACATATATACACTTTATATATATACTTTAAACATATTCTATATTTATTAACTCATATATTATAATAAATCAATAACAATTTCAACAATTTATGAATGGATTTGCCTCTTTGTTAAAACAATAACAAACTCTTATTAATGCTATTCAATTTTATTAAAATTAATTGATAATACAAAATTAATAGCTTTAACAGTTACAGTAACAACAAAATAAAAATGTTACTGATAGTGATAGTGATCAAGTATCTATTACAAATAATAATAATGAAAACAACAATCCAAAAATTCCAATTAAAATTTCAATTTACAAAGATGAACCAAATAAAAATGTTTTGATTTGGTTATTGAAAATTGAAAGTATCTTCACTGCTCAAAATGTTACCAATGATGAAGCAAAAATAAATTATGCATTAACTAAACTTGAAGATGCAATCTTCTATTGGTATCTCAATAAGTTAAAGACAAATATTAATAATACTAACTTCATCTTTACTAACTTTGATATTCTCACTCAAGAATTATGCAATACTTTTTAACCATCAAATTATCAATAGAAAATATGGATGATCTAAATCAAGTCACTGACTTTATTGATAAATTGAAATCAGTAACAAAAATAAAAGTAAGCTATTAAGCATCAGAAAATTTGAAAAATACATGAAAACTAACTATTAAATATAATACAGCTATATTTGATACTAATAAATCACTTAATAATAATTTATCTTACAAAGTATTATTCAAAAAAACTTTATAATTTAGTTATAATATATTGTTATCATTTTTATTGATGTTAAGTTCTTGACGTATTAATCACGTGTTTTATTGAAATAAGAGCGAAAAAGATTAAGTTCTTAAATGGGAGAGACTAAGATTTATCACT